CGATCTCCGTTTATTTAACTAGGATGAATAGTCGAATACTTTTTCCCACGACAATACATTTGAATAATGAACCAAACATGATTTTGTTTTTATGACTGGGATCCTTTACAAATCTGTAAAGCTGAATTTAAATCCTTCAAATGAAGTGCCTCAAACTTTACTATCTTAGGCGATATTTATTGTATATTGTCACTTTAAAGTTGGGCTTTTAGTGTATCTAGTCAGGTACTCATGGCCTTACTATTTGCATTTTTAATCCTTTCTATCCTTCAGGAACCACTAGCATTCTGTAGCCGTGCTATTTAAGATCCTCTAAATTGTCTCCACAAACCGTGGACTAAGTATGGTTTTTCTACTTGGGCAGAAAATAACAAGTTTCCGTCAGAAAACAATTGGCTGTCTGCTGATATAATCCGGTCTGACTGACAGGTCAGCTGCAACATACTGGAATGAGGAAGGATTATACAAAAATGCAGCAGCAGTCGACTCAAAAGCACATGGATGAGAACATCTAGCATTTTGTATTCAGAAAATAAATACAGATGCGCATCTATTAACTGTTTTTCAACCGGTTTGGACCTTTTGAGCTGATTTCTCTATTGTATTTGGCTTATTTAGATTAGTCTGGATGAGACACTGATCCACTGACGCAGTCATGGTTTGACTAAAGTAAAGCTAAAATGGTTTTCAGCTTCTCCTTAATGAGAGGCTCTTAATCATGATGAGGATGGCTGGAGAATAAAGGAAAACATCAAAGGAGAGGGGCAAATTGTCTGCGATGTACTGACGTTCATATCTTCAGGAACACATGCCGCCGAGCTCATTAGTTAGCCCAAAATCAAACATACGCCATTCTATTTCACCTATAGAACCTTTAACTGACTCCATGTTCAGTATTGTAATAAAAAATAAACCCAGATATGTGTAAAAGCACTGAATATAACAGATTACATTGTGGATCAGTGATTCTGGATATTATTAACAGTATGGAGAAATGATGAAGTAATAAATTCATTTTTTTATTACTTTAACCTGGACTGTGTGATAAAGAGATTCCTCAGCTTAAGTCCTTGAGAAGCTGGATTTTTAAAAGCTAAACATTTTATTTAGTAAAGGCATTAAAATATTAAAATCATTGTGTGTTCATAAGTGTTTAGCCTTGGCTTCGGCTTATGTTTATCATATTCGTGATTTTATAAAGCAAGATATAAATCATTATTTATTTTATTTTCCACCTATTTATAAAAAGATCAGTGCTGTTATGTTATACCTTTAACTTAAAGATCCTCTGTAATACAAAAAGGCATTATATGGTGAAGCCAACATCCGGCTTTTTAGATTTATCTCGTTTATAGATTAAATTCTTGATGCAGTTGATATGTTTTGGAGTTAGATGGCCTTGGAAGGGTCACAAGCACTCAAGAAGGAAAAAAGTTCCTTTATAAAGACCAGATTGCTTATTTGCATTTCTGGTTGATAGGAAGTGGCTCTGCCTGCCCTGGTTATATCCAGCAACCAGAGATGGGAAGTAACGAAGTACAAATACTTCGTTACTGTACTCAAGTAGAGTTTTCTGATATTTTTACTTTAC